AGAAAAATTTAAAACTGGAAAGCTTATAGAAGTGATTGTTGATAAATCAAAATAAATTAATAAAAAATAAAATTAAAATACTGATCCATATTACCTATGCAAAAAAAAATATTCTGAGAAAGGTTCCATTAGACTTCACCAGGCTGCCAAAGGGATCTATGACACCAAAGAGGTTAAGAACCCCTCGTCTAGAGGAAGGCTCCTAATAGATCCTGAATACTGACTTTTATGGAAGGAAATGGACTGAAATCCCACATGGTGAGAGATTCTGCCCCACTGGAGGGGACATCCACAGTAATGAGATCACAATCCATGGGAACATTTGTGGTTTCTTCAAAGTACCTAAGTAACCAGGAATGCTAGCTACTGTGTCCACCTATAAATGAGATGCTTTTAATGATAGTTTGCAAATGATTCAGCAACTAAAACCCCTTTTGTAGGATCCAAGGTAAACCTTCCTTATGCAAAATTCTCTCTGGGGGAAAAATGTTTTAGAGTGTGTAGGTTTGCTTGAATTAGATTAAAACTAGGGAGATAAGATCAAGCCAAGGAGGTGAAGAAAGTGCCTCTCTAATCACTTCCAACTGAACTTCCTAGTTTCTTAGTTTATTGTTTCAAGGATCTGTCTGGGAGAAACCAGAAGAACCATAATGACCATTGTGGTATAGCGGGAAGAGTATTAGAGTCAAAACCAGAAAACCTGGGCTCAGCCCTTTTAGCTGTGTGACCTTGGGCAAGTCATTTTTCTGGGCCTCAGTTCATCTGTAAAATGAGGAGATTAGATTAGATGTTCTCTGTAGTTCCTTCTAGCTTTTTATTCTGTTATATGGTTATATGGTAGAGTAAGTGTGGAGGAAAGTGACTGTAGTGAAGAGAATTTGGGAACATTAATCCTTAGTGGCTAACTCTGAGTGCTACCAAATCATTTCTAATTTAGCAACCACTTAAAGGACTTCAGTGTTTTCTATTTGTACAAGCTTTAGTGGTTTTTATTAATTGGGTTAATTTAGGGGATAAAATTAAGTTGGCTGATATCACTAAACCCCACTTTACTAAAGAGGAACCTGAGGTCACAGAGTGAATCAGGCATAATATAAGACTGGGGATGTGCACACACACATTCTCTAATTATAGGAAGCAGAACTCTAATTTAACTTTCTTAATAGTGCTCCTTATTTCATCTTTCTGGCAGCCCTTGCATCCCATGATTACATCTTGAAGATCGTCCCCACAGTGTATGAAGATAAGAGTGGAAAGCAGCGGTACTCATACCAATACACGGTAGCCAACAAGGTCAGTGGAGGTCTGGGGAAAGACCCCCTTGGTGACAGTCATTAAATTTCCTTTTCTTTCTGCTCTCACTGGGCTGGTTAAGGTACAGTCAGGCGTTCTAGAAGTGTACTATTGCGGCCTCTGCTGGCAGAGAAAGGAGCATAAGAGTTGAGCTGCTAATGGGTCCCGCTGTAGAGAGGGGCCAGTGAAGCCCTCCAGGAGGTTCAGTGTGATGGACTAAAAAAAGTCAATCCCCTGCGGATCCTGAGCCATATGGGGACCCAGAGAAGCACAACACAATCTAAATTATTTCTAAATCAATAAGATCTATGACTGCTGCCAGCAGGGACAATGCATGTTATAGAGCAAAATCAATTGAGAGCTAAAAGGAACCTCTGCGTCCATCCAGTCCAGCACCCTCATTTTATAGATGAGGAAACTGAGGCAGAGAGAAGGGAAATGACCTACTCAGTGTCACACAGCTAATAAATGGGAAAGCCTAGAGTCCTCTGATTCCAAGTCCAATGTTCTTTCCTCTACCAAAAAACCTAGCATGACATGAACTATTCTTATAAGTCCAAATGTCTATCGATCTATAAAATATTTACATATTATATAAATATATTATGTATTTATAGATAATATACAATGTGTAGTTATACAGTATTATGTAGTGTATATTTATTATTTATTATATTTATATAACCTACAACATTGTTATATATTTATAAGCTATTATGCATTTATACAATATTTATAAACTATATATTATGTTTGTACAGTATTTATAAAATGTTATATAATGTATATTTACATACTGTTATATATATGTTACACAATAGTTATAAAACATTATATACTGTATATTTATACACTGTTATATATTGTATATTTATACATATGTTACCTAAATATAACACTTAAATAATATATTCTAAATATGATAGTATATAAAATATTGTATATACTTCATATATATGTATTTATTTTTTATCTGAACTAGGAACCATATCAAAGCTTCCCTCTCTATTACAACTCCCCAAAACAACACCAATACCACCTAAAATAGTTGTCAAAATTGGAAGGCACCTTTGACATCATTTAGTCCAACCTTTTCATTTTTAATTTCCCAAACAGAGCTGGGATCTGAACCCAGGTCTCCTAACATCCAGGCTAATGCTCTTTCTAGTACTTCATCCTCTCTTAAATCAAACCAATGTGTTTTCTTACACTGTTGAGCAGGAAGAAGCCCAGAACATCCAATTATTTTCTATATAAATTTTTTGATTTAAATCCATCTACTGGTTTTGAGTATTTCTGCTCCTATTGTAATCTAATGGCAAGAGCATTCAGTTTTGGAGTCAGAAGACTTGGATTTGAATCCCAGCCCCGCCATTTCCTACCTTTATGAGTTTGACAAATCACTTTTCCTTCTTGAGCTGCAGTTTCCCCATCTATAAAATGAGGGATTTGGACTGGATGACCACTAATATCCTTTTTAACTCCTAAGTCTATGATTCTTCATCTCCATGACATGACAAGATAAAAACTGCTGGATGTTTCTGACCCCAGACACAGAAGCATCTGATGCCCACTCCATGCTGTGATGTCTACCTCTTATTTGCCAGTGGTACCCTTAAATGTCAGCATAGATGATACGTGAGATCATTAGCTGTTTTGCATTAGGGTACAGAGTATGGATTCTGAAGCTGAAACTGAGCTGAATGAATATGGATTTGAGAAAGACATGGCTTTCGCAGAAGCCACTTACTCCTTTTAGAAGATAGCATTGTTAGATCTGGGGCCATTAATTATCTAGTTTTTAAATCAGAAAATCTAAACTTGGAAGTTAAGCCAAATTCAATTTCTGTTTCTATCTTCTCAAACCTATGGTAGATCCTAGATCAAGGATGGGGAACCTGTGGCCTGCCACGTGTGGCCTTCTAGGTCCTCAAGTGTAGCAAATCCCCTTAATAAAATGATTTGTTCTATGAAGTTTGGATTCAGTCAAAGGGCTACACTTGTCAGTGGCTCACAGTTGCCTAGTGTTCAGATTTCTACAGTTTGGCACCTTCTTATATTTCTAGTGTTATTTCATAATTTCCTTCTTTCACTAAGCTAAGAAGTAGTCTTATCACTTTATTTTTATCTTTTATTTACTTGGTTAGTCTGTCCCAATTAATTGGCTTTCTGTTTGATTTATGGTACCTCCTTGGTTTGGTAGAGAATGTGCTAATGGTGTCTTCAAGCTGCATTTGCTCAACTCAACCTGGACACCCCAAATTGAATCTAAGGTCTGGAGGGGTCCTAGAATCATAAGTGACCTGTGCTACCTAGAATGACATACTTTTGTTTATTGATTTCCAGCTTATCCTTTAAAAACCAACTCACATGCCACCTCCTCCATGAAATTTGCCCCATTCCTTCCCTAATTACCACCACCTCCAACCTTAGTAGTAGCCTTCCTTCTCCGATCTGATACATTGCTCATTTCTTTAATCCTTCGATGTGATATTGCGTTTTATATTCTCCTATATTTGTATCTTTCTACCCTTTCCATCTATAAGCTCCTTGAGGACAGAAATTATTTTATCTCAGCTTTTATTTCCCCCAGTTTAGCTTAATGTTTTACTTAAGCTAAGTACATAGTAAGCACTTAAATGCTTGTTGAATTTGAATGCTATTCTTTGTATGACTTTTGGGATCACCTACTGCTTTTGATTTTTTTTTTCCTCTAGGCCATCCATAACTGGATGCTTTTTTATAAGTAAAGGTCATCCTTTCCATTTTATGTGCCAGGTCACTGTTCCAAGTTCATGAAATTCGTTCAAAAAACATTTCTCAACTATCCCAATGATAGCTTGACATTTTCCTACCAATAATTATTTCATAGCATTCTGGAGCTAGACGTTAAGTAGAGATAGTCGATTAGTTTCAGTTTTTCTTAATAATCCTCAGGAAAATCCATTCCGGTTGCTAACACTCCCACCCCACCCACCATGATCAACCCAAATCTATCCTGTTTTAATCTAAAACTCTTTCCTATTGTTCACGTCTTCTTTGGATACAGAGAACAACTGCTAGTCTTTTCTCCTCATAAAGCTTCTTTGTGTGTTTAAAAACAGTAAGGAGGTCACCTCTTTGACCTCTGTTGTTTAGACTAAATTGCTCAGCCCCTCTAATATCAGCATACGTCATCCCTTCTGACTGTGTTTGTCACTCCTATGTGCTTTAATCTCTATCCATCTGCCAATCAGAGATCCTTGCATCAGACTTGAGGGGGGGTGTCTGAGGGGGAATGATTCTCCTAATATCTTGCCTTCTGGTGATTGAGGTACGGTCTGGCCACATTAGTGGGCAAGTCCCTTTCTCCCCTCTCTGAGCCTCAGCTTCTCCATCTATAAAAGAGGTTTGGAATAGATTTAAAAATCTAAGGTCCTTTCTAGTTCTAACATAAGCCTTCCTAAATCCTCACCCAGCTTTGCGCTACCACAGACCATAGCTCTAACCCTCCAGAAGTCAGACAGCTTCAGTTCAGTTGATCACCATTCACTTATCCAGGGCTGGCTCTCTGCCTGGCAAACTTCTACATTTGGTTCTGCACGGTGCCATGTACCTGCCTCTATAGCAGGGTGTCAGGAGGAGGGTAACAGTGCAGCATCTAGGCTAAGAGGCCTGCAGGGATGACTGTGATTAGGCAGGCTTCGATCCCGTTGGGTTACAGCTGTTCCCTGAGTGTGGCTTCTTTCCTGTGCTTTGGTTCTCCCTGCGCTTGTAGCCAAAATGACCACCTTCCCCTACAGTTGCCTCACAGGGCAGAATTTAGTCTGTTTAGTGTCACCAAACACTGATAAAGCTTTTTGGACTGAGACCTTTTTGAAAGTGCTCTTCAGGCAGGCCAGCTTGCTCGGCTGATGTTGACATTTCTAGAAGCAGGATGGAAGCTGTGGTGTCGAGCCAGGGCCGAATTGTTAGGGCTGCTCTGCACATTAGAGGTAGGAAAATGTAGAGTAATAAAAGCAGTTCTTCAATCTGTAACTTTCAAAGGTGGAAAAGAGGTTTGGGGGAGTTGTTTTGGTGTTGCCGTCTAAACCTGGACACTACTAACTCTTCATTCTCAGTTCATTGACTGAGTAGATGCACAAGTATGGCTATCCAGAGGACTAGTCTTTGAACATAGGATATCAGATCTGAAAGTGACTGTAGAGGCCAGCTGCCTCACTTTAAGATTGGGGAACTGAGGCCCAGGGAGGGGGAGGGGAAAGATTTGAAGATTAAAATCACCCCATTTCAAACCCAACACATCCTCAACACCATCATGATTCTCCTGAGTTCAGAAAGATAGGATTAAATCCATTGTCTTCCCGTTCTGACCTAGATGCTTCTCTGTTGACACTCTTTCCAACTTCCCAGCTTGGGCTGGGAGTGAGAAACTTCCCATCTTCTCTGCCTGACCTGAAATCCAACTGGTATTTCCTTTGACATCTTTACTGCTTCTTCCTGCCTCTGTCTCAATAGTATTTTGGGTGCCAGGAGCTGTTAGTCAGCTTCTAAGAAGATACAAGCATGGTCCTTTGGTCTTGCCCATGCAATGGCTGGCAAGAGAACTCATTCACCAGTCATTTAAAGGAGAGGTGAAAGAAATGGTGGGTGGGAGTGAGAAAGCTTCTTAGGAGTCACTCATCCAGCAAAATAGTAATTTAGAAATCCCCCACCTTATCTCATGAAAATTGATTCTCATTTCCTAGTCTCACCTTTTTTTCTTCCTCCCTTAGGAATATGTTGCCTACAGTCACACGGGTCGCATCATCCCTGCCATCTGGTTTCGTTATGACCTGAGCCCCATCACGGTGAAGTACACAGAGCGGCGACAGCCTCTGTACAGGTTCATCACCACGGTGAGTGAGAGGCTGGCAGGACGCCAGGCTCATTCACTGTCTTATTCACCAAAGCCACAGGGACTGAGCTCTGTCAGCTGCTGGAAATCCAGTCACCCTCAATGGTCTCCTAGTTAATAATGAATCACAAAGTGGGTTGATGGATACAGAGCCAGGGAGCAAGAATTGAACTTAATTGATTGGGTTCCAGAAAAAAAAAAAAAGAATGATAATGGTGATTCACATTGCATGGCATCATGGGATAGAGAGCTGGCCTCTAGGTCAGGATGACCTGGATTCAAGTTCTACTTCTCACATATTCTGGCTATGGGACTCTGGGCAAGTCACCTCACACATCACTGCCCCAGGCAACTCTCTTAAGATTTATCTGTTGCAGAAAAATTATTGCTCTGCTTTGGTAGGGGGAGTTTCCTCCCCAGGAATTCCCTGATGGAGATGATATCACAGGTCTGGACCAAAAAGAAAATTTGCACCATAAGGCCTACAAAGTGCTTTCCTCACATTACTCCCATGAGGTCAGTAATGCAAATTTTATTAGCCCCACTTTACAAATTGGAAAACTGAGACCTGGGGCAGAGAAGTAACTTGTCTGAGATCATACAACTATGATGTGTCAGAGCTAGGATTCAAATTCTGATCTCCTGATTCTAAATCCGATGCTTTAAATCCAGGCAGTTAGATGGCCCAGTGGATAGAGTACCAGGCCTGGAGTCAGGAAGATATGAGTTCAAATCCAGCCTCAGATACTTAGAAGAAATGTGACTCTGGGCAAGTCAGTTATCCTCTGTCTGCCTCAATTTTCTCATCTGTAAAATGGGGTTAATAATAGCACTTACCTCCCAGAGTTGTTGGGAAGCTCAAATGACATAATATTTGTAAAATGCTTAGCATAATGCCTGGCACATTTGTTGTTGTTCAGTTGTTTTTTGTTCATGTCTGATGCTTTGTGACCCCATTTGGGGTTTTCTTGGCAGAGATACTGGAGTAGTTTGTCATTTCCTTCTCTAGCTCATTTTACAGATGAGGAAACTGAGGCAAACAGGGTTAAGTGACTTGCTCAGGGTCACCCAGTAAATGTCTGAGGCTGGCCCATAAGAAAAGCCACCCAGGTTACCAGACTTGTAAGAGTAGCTCTCCTTTGCTACAGAGGAGTCTGATTGATCTGTTTGCTCTCCTGCTGTTCATCTCATTAGCACAGTCACAAGCTCAAAGACCGGTTTAGGAAACATTGGCCCAGAGACCTGAGTTAGCTCTGCTTTTATAATCTACTTAAGGACCACCCAGAGAGGGAAGGAAAGAAAGGAAGGGGGGTGAGGGATGAGGGAAGAGGGGGAGAGGGACACAGAGATAGAGGAAGAAGGAAAGAAAAAGAGAAAGGAGGTAGAGTGAATGGGAAAGAGGGAGAGAGAAGAGGAGGAGGAGGAGGAAGAGAGATGCCCTCATCAATATTATTGGCAACAGCTACTGATTGGATGAAAGTAATCCAGTGGAAAGAATACTGGCTATGGTGTCAGAGGATCTGGACTCAAATCTCATCCCTAGTACTTATTACCAATGTGACTGTGGGCAAGTCACTTAACCTCCCTGAGCTTCAGTTTCTTCCTCTGTGAAATGACGTTGACTTCAGTGATCTCCAAGGTACCAACTAAGTCTAAATCAATTGATTATGATTTCAGTTAGAAGGCTACGAGGAAGATAGAGATGGTTAAAAACCAGAGCAAAAATAATTAATGGGCATCCATGTGTCATGATGCCATTCTGCAGGGAAGCCCCTCCTGGCATTATCAGGAATACTTCAGAAAAGTGCTGATTTAAATTTTGGCATCCTGGTTACTGTAGCAACCAGTGAGTCAGCTGTCACTGAGCAGGCCTTTCTGGCCCACTAAATAAATCCGCCTGCCTGTGGCAGATGGAGCCATTGTTGACTTTCAGAAACCCTCAGATGTTTCCATTCTTGCAATGCAGCAGCAGATGTTGTATTCCATGGGTGGGGGTGGAGTGGCAGTGAAATCTGGGGGAAGGGGGGGATAAGGAGGAACAGGGAGAGGCAAGAAATGGGAGCACCTGCTGCCTCTTCTCTTTTATTTAATACTTGTTTACAAAGCCACCTCCAGCCCAACTGTCACCAAAATGCTGCTGTCTACAAATAGGTTTTCAGAGGGCTTGGGAGAAAATGGATTTAGGCAGAGGCGCTGCCACTCATATTGGACATTTTAGTACCATGTTTGGAAGGCAGCTGAGAGTCCTACAAGTGGACTTTTTCCAGACGTGGGTGGGATGGAATGAGGAGTGGGAGTAGCTGGGGGTTGAGGGGATATAGGGTGTGGTTACCCAACTGCATTTCCAAAGCCGGTGGGTATTTCTGATGTTTTTCTTACCCTGGATTTCCCCTCAAGAGGGAGAGACTTTATTGCCTGGGAAACATTGTGTTTACAACCAATCCACATTAAGGGGAGGGGGGTTATCCAGATAGTGTGAATAAATGAAATCCCCAGTAATCCCAAAACCTTATATTAGCCAAGTCACAGATTCTTCCCTTGTAGAATCGTAGGATTTTTAGACATTATCTTTTATAAGCATTAGAATTAAACACACTTATGTTTTCTTTTCTTCTTTTAATAGTGATATTTGCATGGATAAGGAGGTAGCCTGACTTGACCAAGGCAATGCTATCCATAATGATGTTTAGAAAAAAAAAACAAAACCCAGAAGGCCCACAGTGCATTTCATTAGCAATATCTCATATTGGGGTTTTACAGAAAGACTGAAAGTAATTGCTTAGAAGGAGAGGTCCTGGTAGGGGGAATAACCACGCTGATGAGATTGTGGATTCTTTGAATGAAGTTTTGTTTGGTTTTGTTTTGTTTAACTTCTTCCTTGCCCGTATCTAGTGGAAGCACCCTAAGCTATAAATTCACTACTAATAATAGGGACCAGGGATAGGAACTATCACTTCATTAGTACTGGGAAATCCCTGGTAAGGAAACTCCAGAGTCGTAGGTTGGTACCTTTTCTGCAACAAATGGGCTTGGAGAATTCCCTAGAGCATAGAGAAGTTAAAGGAATTGCCCAGGGTCACATAGTGTATGTCCAAGGTGGGACTTGAACCCAGGTCTTCCTGGCTTTAAGTCCAGCTGTCTATTCATGATGCCAAACTGCCTCTCTAATACTAATAATAACAACACATTTCTATACCCATATGTGTATGTGTACATATAGTATATAAAGTATTTTTAAAAAACAATAATTCTGTGAGTTAAGTTGCACCTTCATTTTCTCCCCCTGTCAAATGGGGTTAATAGGACTCATAGGCTTAAGTGACTCATTCAAGGTCACATAGGTAGTAAGTTTTGGAACTGGATTGGCAGAAATGTATGGGGCGGGGGGAAGCCTGGATAATCCAGAAAATCATTAATCAGCCTTTAGACCTTAGCAGGGACATAATTGGGTTCTATATATGGAGGATCAAGCTAACAGTTCTGTTAAGGTTTAGTATATTACAAGGAAAACTCTAATAATAATTGTAATATTTCCCATTTCTATAGAAACTTATTTAGAGTTTACAAAAGAACTTTCTTCATTGCAACACTGTTGTAGATAGTATAAGGATGATACTCTCCATTTTACAGATGAGGAAACAGATACTAAGAGAGGTTATTTGGCTTGCTAATGATGTCCCAATTGGGAAGTCAGGGCTCCAACTCCAACGTTCAGCTTCCAAAGTCAGCACTGCTTCTGCTGTTTAACTGCATGCACTTCTAACCAAATCTGGTTCTAGCACCATCATCTGTAATAGGGTTTTCCAGCCCACAACTTGTAGTGGCCCATTCAGTCTACCATTTAGCAACCAGAGCACTCAGTATTTGCTCTACCCAAGCAAGACATTCTTGGTTTGAGTTGTATGACCTTTGCATTCTGAATGAACATGAAGACCTTATCTTTGCCCACTGGGCCAAATTTGGATTTTTTTAAACAGTAAAATCAGGAACAGAAAAATTAACTCAAGATCAGGAAATGAACATGCCTTCTCATATCCAGTCTAACAATGGCTTACATTTATCTCTCTCACACAAAGCACTTTGCATCCATTATCTCATTTGGTTCTTACAACCAGATGACCTCTGTGGTCTGTGATACTGTTATGTTAACTCTATGAGAGACTTAAAACAAGGAATGGTATGTCTCCATTTTACAAATGAGAAAATTAAGGCTAAGTGAGGATTGCAGCCATGCCCTGGGTCACACAGCTAGCAAGTGGCAAAACCAGGACACAGACTCAGATCTAGCTCCAAGTCCAGTATTCCATACCATTCTCCCCACCTAGCCCCCGCCCCGAGTATTTGAGCCGAGTAAAATCTGTCTGAGGATTATATCCTAGGGGAAAAGAGTCACCTTATGTGTATGTGTACAGAAATGTGCTCAGTAGGAATTGTAACCTGCAGTGGTCTTTCTGAATTGGAGTCAAGTCAGCCACCAAGGATGTATGTGCTATGTGCTTAAGTACCTACTATGTGTTGGGCATCAAGAGAGATACAAGTACAAAAAATAAAACAATCTCCACTCACAAGGAGCTCACATTCTAAGATGCTTAAGGGGTCTGTGTGTGTGTGTGTGTGTGTGTGTGTGTGTGTGTGTGTGTGTGT